TAACGTTTTAACCTAGTAATGTAATCACTAGAAGAAAAACACATGTCATAATATTAAATATATAATTGGCATGTGTTGCAATCATGTTAATTAGTAATTTTCAAGAACCAAACTTTATATAATAAGATAGTTGGATCTAAATTTATCTATTTGAAAGAACCAAAACGAAAAAGAACGAGGCGAACATATCCAGACTTCAACTGATCTAAACCTGAAAAGATTTAGCCCGAATAGATCTGATCGATAAGAATTATTTTTTTATCTGACCTATACACATGAATATCTAAAATTATAACTATGTGTGCTCTAACCGATTTGGACTTGAAGAAACCGATCAAAATCCAAAAAAAAAAATTTCAAGTACCTAAGGCTAACTCCAATAGGACATCAAAACACCAAATCTGTTGTGATTTTATCTCCAATAAAACAATAAAAATTACACAATTTCATCAAATTTGATGTAGAGTGAATAGTATTACCCCAAATTTGATGTAACATTATTCATAACACCAAATATTTAATATATCTATTTTATTATGTTTCATTTAATAATATAATTCAATTAGTATTAGTTTAAATATGTAATTGTATATAAATATACTGTATTATTTGTATTTTAATTATTTTTACATAATTGACAATATTTTATTTTGAAAAATGAATAATTGATTATTATCATTTTTAAAGAAATCAATAATTGATTATTCTCCTTTTATTTATATTTAAAAATATATATATCAAAGAACTTTTATATTTTATATTGTAACATATCTTATTTTAAAATATCGATTATAACTCCATTTAAGTTTAATCAGTAATGAACAACTAAAAATATTAAATTATTGTTAAGTTAGATTTAATAACAAATAATTAATTTTATGTAATACTATTAAATTTACCAAACTGTGAAATAAAAATTTAATTTTTTTTATAATATAGTTAAACTTGTATTACTATTTAATAATTTTTTTATTAAAATAAATATATTATTCTATTATGTGGTTTTTATAATTAATAGTTTTTAAATTTTAATATAGTATAGTATTATATATAAAATAAATACAAAATATAATATTGTTAAACAAAAAAATGTATAAATTTTATTAACACAAAAAAATAATAATTATAATATGTAATTGTGAGAAAATAATTATTTATCAATTACAAATAATAAAAATAAAAAAAAATATTAAAGCTGAAAATATTAAATAATATATAATAATACTTTTGGTGTAATATTTGGTGTCAAGGTTAGAGATGATCAAAAATATTTTACACCAAATCACTAAATTTTGTGTAATTTCAACACAAAATTTGGTGTCATGGTTGGAGATGTCCTAATTGAATACAAATGTCTACGACTCAAAAGACATGAATCCGAATTCCTACTTAGAAGTAGAACATGTTTCTTCTAATATTATCTCAGTACCTATGACAATAAAACGTGGTTATGAATTTACTAGAGAATGGTAGATAAGATTTAGTAGCCTTGCTTTTAAGAGTTTGTTGATGTAATCATGAGTTGCTCTTCCCTTCCCAACGAGTTATTTTCTTCTGCTCGTTCAGTCATCTCAAAACATTACTTCTTTCACTTCTCAACCACATCTGCGCTACACGACCACAAAGCCACATGTTTGACTGATTGATTGACACACACACTCTATAATATTCTCTATCAATATTGCAATGGAACTAGATTCCTTTGAACTAAGCTAAACATAACTACTATTCTGGCTAGTCTCAAACTACAATGCTTCTGAAGACAAATTACTTGGCTACGATTTTATTCGCCAAATAAAATAACTTAAACTTGAAAATCTATTAGACGAATACATTCATGCTCTTTTCATACACAAGCTACTCAAATATCTTTGCATTTCTCCAACCCTACTCTTTAAGCTCTCTTCTCTGTCTCCTTCTACCCTTTTCTTGCGTCTTGAAGAAAATGAAAAGCAGTAAGAAGCGTGCTGACTCAAAGAGTTCTTCTCTTGTTATTGCCGAAGCAAATCCTCCCGAGAACAAAAGAGTTGTGGCCACTGATGCACCGATTGTATCTTCTTACAATGACAGAATCAGACCGTTGCTCGACACTGTCGACAGGTTGAGGAACCTGAATGTAATGAGAGAAGGGATCCAGCTTCCAACCATTGTTGTTGTTGGAGACCAGTCCTCAGGAAAGTCGAGTGTTCTCGAGTCCTTGGCAGGGATCAGTTTGCCTCGTGGGCAAGGAATCTGCACTAGGGTTCCTCTTGTAATGAGACTCCAGAAAAGTTCTAGCCTCGAACCTGAGATCTGGCTAGAGTATGGTGACAAAGTTGTTCATACAGATGAGGAACACATCGCGACAGCTATTTGTGCTGCAACTGAGGTCATAGCTGGTATGTCCTACCTCTCTCCCTTCGTTAATGTTAACATGTTTTGGTTTGAGAAATGCACATTTAAAACGAGTTAGCTGCTTATACAGAACCCCCCCTGAAACTACATATGCACATGTAGCTGAATACTAGTGTTAAGATGTTTTGTATGAGTTTCAAGCTTCTAGGTAAGTCTTGATTGTGATAAGTCCCTGAAACTATATGGACACATGTAACTGAATACTAATGTGAAGATGTTTTGTATGGGTTTGTAAACTCCTAGATGGCCTTCAGAGATATTATCTTTTTCCATGGTGGTAGACTAGTTTTGCTTTCTGATGAAACGTTAAGTGTTGTATCTTGTATGATAGAGACTTAACCACAGTAAGTTTTGATTGTGATAAGTACTTTAATTTGTGCTGCAGGATCTGGCAAAGGGGTTTCAGATGCTCCCCTGACTCTCCATGTGAAGAAGGTTGGAGTTCCAGATATTACAATGGTTGATCTACCTGGGATAACCCGGGTTCCTGTGAATGGACAGCCTGAAGATATCTATGAGCAGATATCTGCTATGATCATGAAGTACATAGAGCCACAAGAATCGATCATTCTGAATGTTCTCTCAGCAACTGTTGACTTCACCACCTGTGAATCTATCCGAATGTCTAGACAAGTTGACAAAACCGGTGAAAGGACTCTAGCTGTTGTCACAAAGGCAGATATGGCACCAGAAGGTCTCTTGCAGAAGGTTACAGCAGATGATGTAAGCATTGGACTAGGTTATGTCTGTGTCAGAAACAGAATTGGAGAAGAGACATATGAAGAAGCGAGGATGCAAGAAGAGTTACTCTTCAGGACTCATCCATTGCTAAGCATGATTGATGATGAAATTGTTGGCATCCCTGTGTTAGCTCAGAAGCTAATGCTTATCCAAGCAAAAATGATCGGTAGATGTTTGCCTGAGATTGTTCACAAGATCAATGTGAAGATGGAAACCGCTGTGCTGGAGCTGAACAAGCTGCCAATGGTAATGGGTTCCGCTGGGGAAGCATTGATGACATTGATGGACATCATTGGTTCTGCAAAAGAGTCTCTCCTGAGGATTCTCATTCAAGGTGACTTCTCTGAGTTCCCAGATGATCGGAAGATGCACTGCACTGCTCGCTTGGCTGAAATGTTAAGCCAATTCTCAGACAATCTGCAAGCAAAGCCAGAGGATGTAGTTACTGAGTTCTTGATGGATGAGATCAATATTCTTGAAGAATGTAAATGTGTTGGCCTGCCAAACTTTATTCCTAGATCAGCCTTCTTGGCTGTTCTTTCTCAACATGTGGATAGAATCGACGCCAAGCCGGCTGAGTTCATCAAGAAGATATGGGACTACATTGAAGGTGTCCTCATACCAGTACTATCAAAATACTCTGACAACTTTCCACAGATTCAATCTTCTATCAAACGAGCCGGTCGCAATCTAATCACTAAGATGAAGGAGCAGTCTGTGAACAGAGTTGCTGAGATCGTTGAGATGGAGAAGCTGACTGACTACACATGTAACCCTGATTACATGACATCTTGGACCGAGAAGACAGCTTCACAGCAAAGCTTCATCCATGCTGTATTGCATGATGAGGAGAAGCCTGAGAACTTCTCTCTCAATGGATTTGGGGTTGTGAAGATCTCACATCTGAGGAAGTATCACGCTCATTTGCTGCAGCAAGCGTTTGACATGAAGATGAGGATTACATCTTACTGGAAGATCGTCCTTGGAAGGATTGTGGATAACCTTGCTTTGTATCTTCAGTTCTCTGTGAAGAAACTGGTGAACACTCAGTTTCAGAAGGAGATTGTGGCTGAAATGGTGGATCCTAGAGGCGGTGGTGGAGTTGAGAGGATGCTAGAGGAGTCTCCATCGGTGGCCATGAAGAGGGAGAAGCTTAAGAAGAGTGTGAAGCTCTTGAAGGAGTCCAAGGACGTTGTGGCTGCCATTGTAGACCAAACTTCAGGGTTCGGAGATCATTGAACAGAGTTGCATCTTTCTGTCTTGCTTGGCTATGTTTAATTTCTTTTGTGTGGTAACGCTACTAAGCTTCTTGTAATGTTGTGTCTGTGTTTGAAATCTTTCTTTTGTTGCTAGTTTGGTCAAAACATGTTGTTGTTGTCTACTTCAATCTGTCATCTGTGTCCTAGTTTCTGTATCTCATTGCCTATCTAACGCAAAAATGGGAGGAAGTAACATGCCTTGAGTGTTTGTTTCAAACGTCCAAGCCAGGATGTCTTATAATAGTTAAGTCTGAATCTGAATAAATTTGGCAAACAAAACAAAGGAATTTGATTGAAATGAAATGAGGACAAATGTTTGTATGAAACCACCTGAACTGAGCTTAGTAGTGAGTTCAAGGTCGCCGGGGAAATTTAGAGAAGTCCGGTGGTCGGCGTTGCATATAAGCCGTTCTTCCTTCTATACCTTCTTCGGTTCCATAGAATAAGAGCGTCGCATCACCTCCTAGACCCTGTGTACCATATAAAGTCCAAGAAAAATGTGTGTTATATCAAATAATACTGACTTGTGGCTTAACAAGTTGGTGGAAAAGGCCAACCTGAAGTCCAGCATGGCCATCATCGACCGCATTCAGTGCTGCCTTAAGCACACGGATCGCAGTAGGGCTGTTCCTCAAGATTTCTCTGCACCATTTCACAGTCTCTTTCTCCAAATCCTCTAGCTGTAAGTCTCAGTGAAGGAAGGAAGTTATACTTTAATGAATCTGTGATAAAACTAGTGGTTTACTGATAAACAATTACCGGTACAACTGTATTGATAAGTCCCATTTTATCTGCTTCTGAAGCTGTGTAGAATCTCGTCATGAACCACATTTCTCGTGCCTTTTTAGGACCAACCTGTTTTTAATCAGACCGTGTATTGTTAGATCTTGGATGTTAAATTACAGTACTAGTCAGTTATATAGAGTTATTACCAGACGAGACATGATGGAACTTCCATAACCAGCATCAAAACTTCCAACCTGCAGACAGAAAGTCGTTACTTATGATCAGATTAGTATCAACTCTGCTCCTATCTCACTGTCACATTCAAGGTTGAAAAAAGAGGCTAGATGGAGAACCTTAGGACCCGTCTGACCAAAAATAGCATTGTCAGCTGCAATGGTTAGATCACAGACCATGTGCAAGATATGTCCTCCTCCAACAGCATAGCCAGCAACCTGAATTAGTCATCAAAAGAAACATGGAGCCAAGATCAGTAAAAAATGCATAGACTAAACCATCAATGGTTTGAAGGTACTTACCATTGCAATAACTGGTTTTGGCAGTCTGCGGATTTGCACCTGATTATGAAGATAAGAAACAAAGTTGAATAAATAGACTAATCCTACTAAGACTAGATAACCTGAGATTTTATTTTAGTATTGAAAATCAAAGACATACCTGGAGATCAAGGACATTAAGTCGACCAACATCATTGGGATCAGCATAACCATCTGCTGTCCTCAACGCTTGATCACCTCCACTGCAAAACGCTTTAGTTCCCTAAACCATCAACACAACTATTCAGAACAATCATTTCACAACCAACCAACTAAAACAGAGGAATTACTCTTTGTCATCAAAACTCCAAAGACTCAACACAAAAGCTCTTAGCCTAGAGTCGGTCCTGACATTTATAGGACTTGAAAAAAAATACTAAATAATATAATACATATATATTTTCAATCAATTTGGAGCCAAATGACTATTCAAACTTTGATGGCGGCCTAAGACGAATGTTTCATCTGACTATGCACATGACTGAGCCTAAATCTAGACAAAAGCTCATAACTAACAACTTTACCTTGCCTGTAAGTATGATGACACCTACAGAGCTATCATCTCTGGCGTCATTAAACGCACGCATAAGCTCCTTCACAGTCTGAGGCCGAAACGCGTTTCTTCTCTCCGGCCGGTTTATAGTTATCTAACATAACCAAAATAAAAAACTATTCAACTGAAAAGAAAAAAAAAACACACACACACACTAGAGAGAGTTCATCAAAACACGTTACACTAACAACACAAACCTTCGCGATATCTTCACCGACAGCTTTCTCATATATAATATCAACAAACTCTTTTGTTTCTCCTCCGTCCCCGACCAGATCAGCTTTTCTCCAAACGACGTCGTGAGTTGGCACTTCACCGTGAACCTTATGGTAATTATCATTCATTGATGAAGCAGTAGAGAGTTCCACTGAGTCAACACGAGTTGGAAGTGTTTCGATGGGGATGAGATGGTTTGAGACGACGGAGATGCGGCGGCTCGCGGTGTTGAGTTCCCTGGAGTCTGCCATTAGAGAGATGAAGAATGGATAGAGAAGAGAAAGATGAAGATGACAAGAGATTGTATCACATGGACTTTGACAATAGTTAAGATAAAATAATTTTTTGATAAAAAAGAGTAAATAATTGAATTCTTCCGAAAAAAAAAGAAGAAGATTTGAAGGTTTGGAGAATCAGAGGAAGTGGACGTAATCTCTTGGCGCGCCTATCTCTATTAAGAACGTTTGACGATGAGATAAGATAAGGCAAAACGCAATATACATTTGCGTTTCTGTTTTGCAGTTATTTTCATAAAAGCCCTTTAACTTTGGGTTTAATTGCAGCTTTATTTATTGTTAATAAATTATTTTTGTAAGAATTATATTGCCATTAAAAAAAAATATTTTCTGTTTCTTTGAAGTTGATAAAGAGGTAAGAATATTCTTAAATTTTAATCTTTTCCATAAATATTTAAATAAAATATTAAGATAAAATATTAACGTATTTCAAAACTTGTATATGATCTTAATAGTTTACGAATTTCATTCAAGTCTTAAGTGTTTGAAAAAATTAAAGACTGCAGTGAATTTATAATTTTAGGAAACATAAACTTGTACTAGTTCTTTTGTAGCTTAAGGAAAAAAAAAAATAACTTTGCCGAGAAAATCCAATATTACAATGAAAAACACACACAAAAACCTCAAAGCCAACTTAACCGAGAAACACAAAATTAAAAAGCAAACACAAAGTCCCAAACCAAACTAAACCGAGAATTCGAAATTGAGAAACACAAACACAAAAGGCTCAATCCAACAAAAACCAACAAGAGAACCAGACCAGACCAAACAGCGAGTAGCAGAAGAACTCAATCAACGGTCTCCATAACCAGAATTCTGATCAACAATAGCCGCAACAGCATCCTTAGACTCCTTCAGTAACTTAATACTATTCTTCAGCTTCTCCCTCTTGCTTGCCACCAACGGAGACTCCTCAAGCATCCTCTCCACTCCTCCTCCACCTCTAGGATCCACCATCTCAGCCACAACCTCCTTCTGAAACTGACTGTTGACAAGATACTTCACAGACAGCTGCAGATACAACGCAAGGTTGTCCACAATCCTTCTTAGAACAAGGGTCCAGTAAGATGTAATCCTCATCTTCATGTCAAACGCTTGCTGCAGAAGATGAGCGTGGTACTTCCTCAGATGCGTGATCTTCACGTTACCAAAAACAGTTATAGAGAAGCTCTCAGGCTTTCTCGCATCGTTTAAGACAGCGTTGATGAACTTCTCTTGTTCACTTGTGTAACACGTCCACGTCTTCATGTACTCAGGGTTACATGTGTAATCTGTCAGCTTCTCCATCTCAACGATCTCGATCACTCGGCTCACAGATAGTTCCTTGATCTTGGTGATCAGATTGCGACCTGCTCGTTTGATGGATGATTGAATCTGTGGGAAGTTTTCAGAGTACTTGGTGATGACTGTTGACAGAACAACTTCAATGTAGTCCCATATCTTCTTGATGAACTCTACAGGCTTTACATGGATTCCATCAACATGTTGTGAAAGAAGAGCCAAGAAAGCTGATCTTGGGATGAAGTTTGGGAGGCCAACACATTTGCATTCGTCAAGAATCTTGATCTCAGCCATCAAGAACTCGGTTACATCCTCTGGCTTGGCTTGCAAGTTATCTGAGAAGTGGCTTAGCATATCAGCCAAACGAGCAGTGCAGTGCATCTTCTGATCATCCGGGAACTCGGAGAAGTCTCCTTGTATAAGGATTCTTAAGAGAGATTCTTTAGCAGAACCAATGATGTCCATCAATGCCATCAATGCTTCACCAGTGGAAGCCATTACCATTGGAAGCTTGTTCAACTCTACAACAGCTGTTTCCATCTTCCTGTTGATCTTTCTAACAATCTTAGGTAAGCATCTACCGATCATTGTTGCCTGGATAACCATTAGCTTCTGAGCTAAGACAGGAATGCCCACAATGTCATCATCAATCAACCTTAGCATTGGATGTGTCCTGAAGAGTAACTCTTCTTGCATCCTTGCTTCTTCATATGTCTCTTCTCCAATCCTGTTTCTGACACAGACATAACCAAGTCCGATACTCACATCATCTGCTGTCACCTTCTGCAAGAGACCTTCAGGAGCCATGTCTGCCTTTGTGACAACAGCAAGAGTCCTTTCACCAGTTTTGTCAACTTGTCTTGACATGCGAATAGACTCACAGGTTGTGAAATCAACGGTTGCTGACAGAACGTTGAGGATGATGGATTCTTGTGGCTCAATGTACTTCATGATCATCCCGGAGATCTGTTCATAGATGTTTTCAGGCTGTCCGTTCACTGGAACACGAGTTATCCCGGGGAGATCAACCATGGTAAGATCTGGAACATTAGCTTTCTTGACATGGAGGGTCAAGGGAGCGTCTGAGACCCCTTTGCCAGATCCTGGAGAAAAGGTATTGTATTATTATAGTCAAAACTTGTCAGTGTCATTCACATAACACTCCGATGTTTCATCATGTAGGAAGTTAATACAATTAATATAGGAAGTTAATACAATTAATATCACTAAACTTCAGATGAGTAACGACCTCTAGTCACTTGTATTCATCTATACATGTAAACATTTAGTTTTATCATATAGCAAAATAGTATAACTTCATGAAAAATATCAGATTAGTATTTCTAAAATAGAAAGAAAAAACAAACCTAGGCAGTTGTGTTCATGCATGTTTATGTAAAATCTAGTTCCAGTAACTTCTTTTGCAAGTAAAAACTCTTCACAAAAAACATCCATGTTTCAGATAACGGTCTCATGCAGAGTATTCTATCTTTCAGGTTCTCTAAACACACACTTAAGTGTCAAAATGGTTTAGAGAAAGAGAGACAGAACATACCAGCGATTACATCAGTTGCAGCACAAATCGATTCAGCAATGTGTTCCTCATCTGTATGAACAATTTTGTCACCGTACTCTAGCCAGATCTCAGGTTCGAGGCTAGAACTCTTTTGGAGTCTCATCACAAGAGGAACCCTAGTGCAGATTCCTTGCCCACGTGGCAAGCTGATTCCTGCCAAGGACTCCAGAACACTCGACTTCCCAGATGATTGGTCTCCAACAACGACAATGGTGGGAAGCTGGATCCCTTCTTTCATCACATTCAGGTTCCTGAGCCTGTCTACAGTGTCGAGCAACGGCCTGATTCGGTCATTGTATGAAGATACAATCGGTGCGTCAATGGGGACAACTTTTTTGTCGTCAAGCTTTGCTTCAACAATAGCAAGAGAAGAAGAGGAAGTTCTAGAGACAACGTGTTTGTTACTACCTCCCATTTTCGACTAGAGTGTAAGAAGTAGCTAAAGACAGAAGAAATGTTTAATAATTAAGTGAGATCTCTAGTTAGAGACATTCGAAGATATATATAGAGATATCATAAGGGCTTGCTTGTGTATGATTCATAGAATCAAGAAGTAAAACGTTTGGGATGAAAGGAGGTGACGTGCATGTTGGAACTGAAAAAAGCTAACTAAGTCCATAATTACACCTATATAGCTCGTAGATGAAGCTAAAAAGCCTCTCTTAAATCCTTTATTGTATTTGTATTTTAAACTGAAAATCAGAGACATGTTTTCTCGTAATATGTAGTAACTTAACTTCTTCGTTTTTGGCATTAATTTAAAATGATGCATGCTGGGTACTGTGTTTGATATATCAACAAAAGGAAGAGCATGACTTCTTCGAACTAAATGTAAAACTTAAAAGTAGTGTAGGGTAGTGTACCAATTGATTGGTAGTTAGGGTAACCGTGATATGACTATAATTTCTTAAGAAAAAGATTTGTATTATATGTATATAGTTTATGAGTACTTAGCTTAGAAGAGTTTAATGTCTATATATATGTATTAGTTTTAGAAAAAATAATATTTATAGATTTAATTGAGTAGATGTTAGTAAAATGGACCTAATATGACCTTTTTATGTTAGATAAAAAGTAAAACTTTATTTTAAGTTTTTAAGATAAACTCATTTTTGGATAATTTTTTAAAAAACTTTTGTCATAAAAATAGCTCCCAAAGAAGAAAATGACCAAAATAGATTTTATTTAAATGGTAAATATACATTTTACTATAGGGTTACCTAATCTAAACTTATGGTTTAGAGTTAGTGGGTGGAGTTTTGGGGTATGGTTTCAAATTTTTTAAAATAGAAGATAAATATTACAATTTTAAAATAAAAAGAGGTTAATTTAGTCATTTTATTTTTAGAAGGTTATTTTTGTGACAAAAACTCAAAAATAACTATTTGAGAGAATTGCTCATTTATTAATGTTTCTACACCAGCAGATCTAGGGTTAAATCCCAGAAAATGCAAATCATGTAGATTATGGAGAAAAAAGTTATAAGACATCTTTAGCATGGTGCATGGCGTATCATCGAACATGAATCTCATAGTGAGGTTTGGAATAATGCAGTTAGACGTGTATTCTCATATGGTGATAGAATTGTCAGATGTAAAATCGTCTATTTAATATTTCTCAGTATTGTAATTGCATAATTAATCAGACATAATTTATCAGACCTTAAAAAATTATTTATTTTCTAAAAATATACTATTATTAATAAAACTGATTTTTATTATATAATAAACTATATATGAAATTAGTAAAAACATAATAAATAAACAAAATTATCTAAATCATAGAAAAGTTATAAATTAGCAAATTCACTTAAACTTTATAATAGAAAATATATTTTCAAGACAAAAATCTAATATATAAGAATTATCTTATTTTGTAAAACTATAATATTATTAGTATAAATTCATTTTTATTGTATAAGAATTTATATATGAAAATTGTAATATGACAAATAAGCAAAATTACCTTATAATACATAAGAGTTATCTTATTTTCTTAAAGTATAAGTTTATTAATTAAAGTTTGCTTTATTATATAATAAATTAGATGTGAAATTATTAAAAACATAGTAAATGAGCAAAATTATCTAAATCATAGAAAAGTTACGAATCAGCAAATTCACTTAAATTTTATAATAGAAAATATATTTTCAAGATAACAATATAATACATAAAAATTAATATGTTTTCTAAAAAATATAATATTTTAATATAAATTCATTTTTATTATATAATAAATTATATATAAAATTATTAAAAGATGAAAAAAGGGTAAAATTATCTTAAATCTTGAAAAAATTAACAAATCAGTATATTTACTGTTCAGGTAAAAGTATAGATTAAAGTCATTTCAAAAATTAATTGTTATTTGCAGAAATAAAATAAAGAAAGAAGGGAATTTTGGTCAAAACCACTAGTTTCGGTACAATAAGTTTGGTTTTGTCAGCCGGTTTGGTCTTTGATTCAACACTTAACCATGTGCTGACTCATTATTAAAGTAAACCCTAATAAATCTTTTCTCCTCTGGACTTCTGTTCAAACTTTTGAGATTCGTGGTGGGTCTTTTTGCATCTCTGCTTCGGTTTAGATATCAGATTCTTTGGATAACTACTAGAGGAGCTACGTGGTGACTGGTGAGTCGTTTGTTTTTGTTTCCCTGAGGTGTTCCTTTTGTTTTCGCTTTCGATTTGGTTTTCACCCGCGTATATTTTTATGATCTGGTAAGGTTAGATCCTCTTTTCTATAGTTTTATTAACATTGATTTTATATGTATGTTTCGTGTTTTGATAAGTTTTGTAGACCGAAGCTTAAAACAAATTGCGGGTTGATTTAGCAAATTTCTTTCTGCTTCCTTTCTTCGTTCAGTTTGCATTAGATTTCAAAATTTTGTTTCGTTGTATTGAGTAGACCTGTAAGTTTTCAGTTGAGCTCTTCGGAGATAGTATAAAAAAACGCTAAACCCATGGATGTTAATTATGACGTACGTATGATAATTTTTTTTTGGAGAACTAGCTAGTCATTTAATTTGCTCATATAAGTTTCATTACTTAGAAAATTTGATGCTTAAGGTCTAGTTTCATTCAAGTGGTGCTTACGACATCTCTATAATATTATTTGAAAAGTCACTATAATATCTTACAATTACTGTAAAAATATAAATTCTATTCTACTTATATAGTATAATTTCTCAAAAACAATCACTTTTTACTGACTATTTTAAGAGATACTAAAAATAAAACTAAAAAATAAAATTAATGATAAACATCTTTTGATAAATTAACTACAATTATTTTAAAATATCATAATACTATATAATTTAATGAGGTAGATATATTATATTTTAATAGTTAAAATTATCTGTTTTAAGAATAAGGATTCTGATTTACTTAAGTATTTTGATTATGGTTATATTAAGTTTCACAAACATAAAAACAGAAAATAACTACAATTATTTTAAAATACCATAACACTATATAATTTAACGAGGTAGATGTATTATATTTTAATAGTTAAAGTTATTTGTTTTCTTAATAAATCTTTTGATTTTTAATTTTATGTTTTTATGTTTGTGAAACTTAATATAACCATAGTCAAATACTTAAGAAAATCAGAATCCTTATTTTTAAAATTATTTAAAATAAATTTCAATTTACCATCCAAACAATCTAAAGCAAAAATTTATTTAGAATTTATAATATATTTTAACTATTGTAAATATTGGTATGTGTTCAAAATCTTCTAAAAATTCATTACTTACTTATGTATGTAATTTAGAATCAGAAACTTTAGTTTTTATTTTATTTTTCCTTCTAAGCACAAAAAAATCTTAAGTTATATATAATCGTACTAAATATACTTATATTTCTAAGATAACAACCAGCATAAATGCAAATAAGACAATTAATCAAAAATTTAATATATTTAAAATATAAAAGATAATAGTTGAATTCAGAGAAATATATAGAATCCAATATATCTAAATGATAACTAAATCGACCGTAAAAAAAATAAAACAGATTAAATATAACAAATCTAAAATTATATATATAATTAAAGTATTATAAATAATACTTTCAAGCTGTTGCTTAGTCTGTATAGAATTATAGAATTATACTTTCAAGCTGTTGCTTTCTATAATTATATATAGAATCCAATATAACCCTTTCAAGCTGTTGCTTATGCGCTTTGGAATGAAAGGAATGTGAGAAGAGCAGAAGATATCAAGCAGCCTGCTTCTTGTCTTATCGCGAGGTTGGACAAGCTTATCAGGAATAGGATTACTTCGTTGCAGAGGAAGAATGGAAAGAAGTACGAAAAAGCTATGGAGATTTGGTTCGGATTATCTTGAGGTTATGAGGTTGGGGTTGGGTGTTCTTTGTTGCTGTATTGGAGTTCTCCTCTGGTCATGAAAGGGTTACTCTTTTTCCTCTTTAGAGTTTTATCCCAATTGGGTTTTCTCTAAAGAGGTTTTAATGAGGATCATTTCATGACCCTTCCAAGCTTGACTTGTTCCACATGGTCAAGCTTGAGGGGGAGGTTTTGGGATTTTGTTGTTGTTTTGGGGTTTTTTTTCTTTGCTGTTTGGGAGTATGTTTTAGATTTCAATCTTGGTTGCACTTGATGTAAGAAGGTTTTTTTGAAATAAAATTTAACATTTTTTCAAAAAAAAAATATATATATATATAATTAAAGTAATTAAATATTATAATATAAATTAGACATACAAACTATAAATTAATTTAAAAATTAAATTAAATATCAATCAGTTATTATTGTATATTTATTTTATAAATATACATGCCCGTGCATGAGCACGGGAAAATCACCTAGTCCAATTTTAAAAGACATATTTGTATGAATATTTAACATTAAGAATTTTGTTAGTATTTATATGTAACATAATTTATAATTTTAATAATGATATCAGTAAGAAAGTTTAGGATTATTATAAAATTTTTAGTAATAAAATTCTTGAGAAAGTGTATAAAATTTTTTATCTTTAAATAAGATTTCACATTAAAATTATTTTAGTAAAATTATGATGAATTTAGTCTAATATTTATGATAATATTTAAAAGAAATTTTATTAAGTTAATTTTATCATATTATTTTCACTTCTCATTAATGAAAATTAAAAGCATGAAAAGGGCATGCTTTTATGGTTTCGTTATAAATAACTTTTCTTTGTGTTTTTAGTCAGTTTCTGTTTTTTGTTAGTTTTCAAACAAATGAGAAATTGATTGTAAATATGATTTTTTGAAGTGAATAAATTTTACTTTTGAAACAGCTTATGAATGATGTTAAATAAAACCATAAAAAGTACATGTAAAAATATTGGACGGGCACTTCTACTTAGAAGACTGGATATATTCATGTATTTTCGCTTTCATGAGTTCGATAATATCTTAGTTATAAA